ACAAAGGTACACGGTTTGAATCCACCGGCTGCTCCATGAGAGACAGGCAGTCTCCTTCTGTGTGATGTAATACCTCTGAAACCCCACTGAGTCACTTACAGCTAGACAATATACAACAACAACCACCACCTGTAGATCAGGCCCCTATTTCTAAACAAAGTCAGGTCCACAGGCACCTGGGGTCAGGGTCTGAGCATGTCTTTCTGGGGTCACAATCCATCCAGGACACCAGTGCTTCTGAGCTGGACACCAGTGCTTCTGAGCTGTGGGCCTGTGTCTCACACAGTCCTTCTCTTACTTCTGGTTGTTGCATGCCTTTCTCCGAATGCTCTCCCCATCGCACACCCCCTGGCCAGCCTTCGCTCATCCCGTAAGACTCAGTTTGGGGGCCCCCTGCATTTGGCACCTCATTTCTAGCTCCTGAGTCTCTGAGTGGCTCAAATAGTTAGACGACTGGGATACTAACTAAAATCCACCAGAGGTACCTCCACAGAAAGGTCTGGCAATCTGCTGTGGAAAGGCCACACTCAGCCTTGGAAAGCCTGCATAGCAGTCCACTTTGCACACGTGAGGTCTCTGTGGGTGAGAATGGACTTGATGGCAGTGAGTCCTCTTGCTCCTGTCACCCCTGTAACCCAGCACTTTCCTTATTAAACAACCTGTTCCCCACTGAACGCTGTCAGAGGACCAGATGCTAAGTTTCACTCAAGAACCTGGTAAACTCGCTGGGCTGGTCTGCATGGCTGCCCGGAGGAGCGCCCCCCACCCCAGCCCTCCCTGTCCTCCGGCTCAACTCCAGCTCACCTGGTCGAGGGGCACAAGGGCCCTTTTGTGTGGTAGAAGGGACAGTGTGGAGGCTGACGCTCTGGAGGGCAGAGCAGGGTCGGGCCCAGACAGATGGACACACAGACAAAGCCTCTTTAACAGGGATCAAGGCAGCCTCGCTGACAATGCACCAATTCAGGCGCCCAGATAGAGAGTCTGCCAGAGTCCAGGGCGCCCTGGGAGTTGGCAGTGCCTGGGGGTCGTGGGCAGGTGAGCAGTGGGGGATAGGATGCAGAGGGTGAACCTCAGGTCCCTGACCACAGCATGTCCACAGAGCCTGGCAGCGGAGAGAGCTTTTATGGCTGGTCAGGTGCCCAGTGTTAGCTGACACAGCCCTTTACCCATTTGACGACGGGGTTGCTTGTCTGTTTTGCTATTAAGTTGTCAAAACTTTTTGTGTGTTTTGGTTAGAGTCTTGTCTGATATATTGTTTCTGAAGATGTTCTCCTGGTCAGTAGCTTGTCTTTTCATGGCTTTTGGTCGCTTCACGGGAATCTCAAGGCTGATTTAAAAAAAAAAAATTCTTATTTATTCATTTATTATTACTTACTATTTTGTGTGTACTGTCAAATTGGATCTGACTGGTATGGGAGGAGATTGTCCCTCCTTCTCCAGCAAAGCATCCGGTGGATTCAAACTGCACAATTCTGGGATTGCAGTGCAGCTTCTTGCCACTAGGCCACCTGAACTCCCTTCAAGGCTGATTTTTGAGGACTAGCCCAGCAGGCCTTTCTTGGGAGGTCCCGCTGAGTGTAGCCTCTGAATTCACATAGAAGGCCTCAGTCACAATTAGTGATTATTATTACCTGATGGCAGCCTGCACTGCACAGCTGACACAACCTTGCTTGCTGAAAGTGAGGATTCCAAACACTTGCTGCAGAAAATCAAAGCCTAAGGTGCGCCTGATCCAGGCTATGGTCTTCACAATTACGTGCTATGCATCAGAGAGCTGGACAGTGAATAAGGATGATGGAAAGAGAATTGATGCCTTTGAGCTGTGGTGCTGGAGAGGGCTGTTGAATATACCATGGACTGCTAGGAGAACAAACAGGTTTGTCCTGGAGAAGGGTGAAGCCGGAATGCTCCTTGGAGTCAAGGATTCTGAAGCTTCATCTGACGTACTTTGGGCATGTTGCAAAGAGGGACTGGTCCTTGGAGAGGGACATCATGTTTGGGAGAGTGGAGGGATGGCGCAGGAGAGGAAGACCTTCAATGAGATGGATCGATTCTGTGAGTGGAGTGGTGGGAATGAGTGTGTTTGAGACAGCGAGGTTGGCACAGGATAGAACGGCGTTTAGGGCTCTTGTACACAGGGTCGTTATGAGTCGCAAGCAACTCAATGGCACAAAACAAAAACAACAGCCTTCAATATGGATTGCATCTCATCACCAAAAAGACAAAAATCCTTAGCACCAGACCCATAAGCAACATCATGAAAAATGGAAAAAAGTCTGAAATTGTCAATTATTTCATCTTACGTGGGTCCACAATCAATACCCTTGGTACCAGTAGTCCAGAAATCAGGAGATGGATTGCATTGGGCAAGTTCACGGTCATGGACCTCTCTAACTTACAGAGGAGCAGTGATGTCTTGTAAAAAGTGCAGCCGGAAAGCTCCCTGGAAGCAAGGGCGGGGTGTGTGTGTGTGTGTGTGTGTGTGTGTGTGTAGCTTCATCTCATGTAGTTTGGGCGTGTTGTTGGGACAGGGTGTTCACTGGAGAGGGACATCAAGCTTGGAAAGGTGGGTAATCGACGGAAGGGAGGGACTCTCAGCAAGACGGATAACACAGTGACTGCGGCAATGGGCTCAAGTGAGTCAGAGATGATCAGGACGGCACAGAATATGACAGGGTTCCGATCATTGGGTCGCTGGGAGTCGTATTTAGCTTGAAGGCATCGCACAACAACAACATCACGTGGTAAACGGCTGCCCTCCCTTTTGGGTCACCACCTCCCTCACTTCCACAAGAGGAAGTAGCAGAGACTGTTGTGCTCAGCGGTTGGTGGGACCTCTGCTCCACCCCAGCCCCTGGGGGAACGTCCTCGGGCCTCATTAGAGTAGAGCACTGTCGCAGGTTTTCCCCTGGCTGTCTGGCTCCAGACAGCACCCCAGGGACCCCTGGTGTTCCCGGGCGCAGAGCAGCAGGTAGAGGTTCCAGCAGATTCTCAGCGGCCACCTCCATGGGGCACTGGGGCTGGGAGACAGAACTGCAGGCAATGAAAGATTTTCCCGTTACCCTGGTGGGGTCTCTGCAATTCCTCCCAGAAGCCCCTTCCACAAAGATTGGTGAGCACTTGGCATATGCCCAGGTGTTTCACATAGGTCCTGTCGTAACAGTCATACCCTCCTTTGTTGTTAGGTGACATCAAGTCAGTCTTGACTCCGCCAACCCTGTTTACAACAGCTTGAAACTTTGTTCGATCCTGCCTCAGTCTCACGTGGTTTTTTTGGTTTTTGGTTTTTTTTTTTATTTATTATTAATTTCAATGAAAATTTACAGAGACTTTGGATTTCCATTCATTCATTGTTGCACTTTTCTCCCCTCCCAACCCTCCTCCCCAGTACGCTACCCTCTCGGAAAAGTAAAAGAAAAATTCTTTCATTGTTTTACAGTCCCTCCCCCCAGGTCCACTCCACTATGCAGCTCTGGACGCCGGTCATGACAAAAATCCCTAATCACAGATCCCTTTTAAACAGTTCTCTCCCTCATCTGTTTCAATGCCCACCCTCACACTTAAGCCCAATCTTGGAGCCACGCTGTGAGCCCATCTCTTTGAGGGGCCTCCTCTCCTTTGCTGATTCTCGACTTTTCCAAGCATAGGGTCCTTCTCCAGGGCTGGTCCCTCCTCCCTCCTGATAAATGTGTCCTCAGTAGGTGAGACTGAGTCCACCAGGCTCGGTTCTAAGGATCGCTCTGGCTACACCACATACTCCCACTCAAAAGGCATTGCTGTCACGTCAGAACTGCCCACAGACGACCCTCCTTGGGCTTCCGTGCCTGGAAACCACTCAGAGGACCCTGAGCCTCTTTATAGAGTCGCTAGTGGATTCGAACCAACACTCCTGTGCACATTTGATAGGTGGAGACTAGGGCTTGAAGCCTCGTTCAGCCTCAAGAGGTCCTCTCCCCAAACCCTACTCCATTTCTTCAGCACCCCCTCCCCGCTCTCTTCCTGCCCCATGGTCAGCCCACTGGCTCTGGCCTGAGTGGAGGCGTGAGGCTGGCAGGGCAGCGAGGGCAGGCTGGGCAAAGGCCCCGGCTGGCACCTGGACTATGAGTCTGTGGAGTCCTGCTTCTTCCGCGTGTGTAACCCAGTTTCCTCACCTGTCACTGGGAGTGTAAATTGTCCTCTCCGCTTGGGTTGTGGGAAGTTTGTTGGTTTGTACTGTTGAGTCAGAAGCAGCTCATAGCTGACACTTGAGTGGGTTTTCAGAAGCAGTAAATCATCTGGGAGGAGGTAGGTTGCCTGTCTTTCTCCCGCGGACCAGCTGGTGGATTCGAACCGCTTTGGGCTGGGAGTGCAGCTGCTTCCCATGGGAACACGTGAGCTGTTCACTGTTGTTGTTGTTATTACGTGCTGTTGAGGCAAGTGTGACTCGTAGCGATCCCATGAACAACAGATCTAAACCTTGTCCTATCCTGGACTGTCACAGCATCTCTGACGTACTTGAGACAGGTGAGTGCACGGCTGAGGCACCGTGCCAGCCCATCTCGTCTAGACAGGTGAAGTGCCCCCAGCAGCTCCTGGCACAGAAGGTTACCTAGGACGTGGAGCCACTTGGCTGGTGTCTCTCTCAGGTGGAGGCAGTGTGGGGCTGTGTTGAGAGCTGTGTTGGCGCTGCCTCTGTAACGGGGTCCTGAGACCCACCACATCTTAAACACTCTCCACCATGAGGCTTCCTCTTTGGGGCATTCCTCCAGGTTGGAGGTGTGTTTGGGCATCGGGAATCCAGTGTCCCCGACCTTACCCCTGCAGAACCCATGAAGACATGAAGAATGCAGGGCTCAGGGACTGGGGCTGCCCAGCTCTGCCACTCCCACAGGAACTGGCCAGTCTTCCAAACCAAGGCCATGACCCTTTGAGCCTCTGGGTCTATCTGAGCGGTCAGTGAGGTCCAAGCTGGCAGGTTGACCTGGCAATGACTGAGTGCCGGCCTGTCTCCATCCTGCCAGATGGTGGTTCTCATGGACCCCATGGAGGACCCGGATGACATCCTGCGGGCGCACCGCTCCCGGGAGAAGTCCTACCTGTTTGATGTGACCTTTGACTTCACTGCCACCCAGGTGAGGGGGAGCCCTGGGGACCTTGCACTTGTCCCTCCTGGGGACCCTGCACTTGACCCTGAGGCTCCCTGCAGCACCTGCTCAACCATCTCTTCTCAGCTTTGCCCCCAATGCCATGCGCATGCCCAGCACCTTGCATGGACACCCCCTACAGGGAACACCACAGTGGGAAGCTGTCGAAGTAGGTTGGGGAGGCGAGAAGCCCAGCTCGTGGGGAGAGGACAGGTGGAGGACAGTGACAGGGAAGCTGACACCTGGGGACCCCCATCTGGCTCATCTTCAGAATGCTTCCAGGAGCAGATGCCAGGCGCCCTGGGCTGGGACCCAGGAGGTGGCTTCAGGGGGAGGCATCTCGGGTGTCCCCAGCTCTGTTTCCAGCTGTCGTCCCCCAGGTGTGGCAGCAGAGGCACCCTTCCTCCACACCCTCAGCCCGTTGAGGGCTGGCTGTCCTGAGGGACACTGGCGCTCTGCTTGCGGGTCTCTCAGCCGCTGACCAGCCTTCTTCCTGCAGGAGATGGTGTATCAGGCCACCACCAAGAGCCTCATTGAAGGGGTCATCTCGGGGTACAACGCCACTGTCTTTGCCTATGGCCCCACCGGTGAGCGGGCAGATCCAGGACAGGCCTGGCCCTGGGGTCCCCATCTCGGGAAGGAAGCCTCTCAGGGTGCTACTCTGGCTTCATTCGGGTCATAACCATCTTAACCCCACCTGGGACCCTCTAACCCCAGCGCTCCAGCTCTGAAGGCCTGCGCCCCTCCATGGCTTTCCTGGTCATGTGGGCGGGCCCAGGTCCTAGCAGACCTAGCCATGCACGTCAAGCCCTCCCTCCCACTCCCAGGCTGTGGGAAAACCTACACCATGCTGGGCACAGACCATGAGCCAGGCATCTATGTCCGGACCCTCAATGACCTCTTCCGTGCCATCGAGGAGACCAGCAATGACATGGAATATGAGGTGTCCATGTCCTACCTGGAGGTAAGTTTCCACTCAGCCAGTGGTACTTGGCCAAGGGGCCAATAAGACAGGATTATCGCTCCAGTTCCCAGGCCCAGGCCCCTGGGCAGTTTACCATTGCATCCCTCTTAAACTCATGTTGTTAGCCCCTCTGTACACAAGTCAGGCTCAGAGAGGTTAGGAAGCTAGGTCAAAGTCACACAGCACGTGAGGAAGCAGAGATCCAAACCCAGGGTCTCGTGGCTTTCAAGTTCGCCCGGGAAAAAGCAGAGAACTCTGCTGCTCGCTGCCCTCTGCACCTGCACCCTCCAAGCCTCACTCCCTGTGGCCGCCCTGCCTGCCCTGTCCTGTGCCTCCAGGTGCTACACACACAGAGGTACAGGTGAGACCATGCACTGTAGATACAGGCTTGAACCTGGAGACCTTAGCTGCCAGCCACTGCATGTCCACCTGTGGGAGCAGGACCAGCAGACAGTGAAGGGACAGGAGGGGTGGGGACAATAGAGACCAGAAGGAGGGAAGAGCCAGTGTTCTGGCCTCCCTCGGGCTGGGGCTCACCTTGCAGGCTTAGTTGTTGTTGTTATGTGCTGTCTAGTCGTTTGCGACTCATAGCAACCCTATGTACAACAGCCCTAAACCCTGCTCTATCCTGTGCCAATCGCACTGCCTCTGACTGCAGGCTTGGAGGAGCTGATAATCTCTAAGGTGATAATCTCTGAATCTGAGCTGGTGAGATGGGCTCCAAGCTGCTCCAGCCAGCACATACTGACTGGGCCAGCACCTTCACTTTGTTTGTGGGGACAGGGAGGGGAGACGGATGGGTTGCCTAGTGACTAGCAAGGGTGGCCTATCTTCATTATCTGGTGTTACAGAAATAGCACAAATGGGTGGCTTTAACAAACAGCTGTTTATCTTCTCATAGGAGACTGGAGTTCAAAGTCAGGACACTGGCCCTAAGGGAAGGTGGTGCCTCTGGGCGTTGTCTCTATGTCTCAATTTCTTGAAGATCTTACTTCCTCATCAGTTTCTAGTTTATTTGTTTAATCTCTTTTATATAGAAAAGATATTGACTCAAGATATAGTCTAGAGTAATGTGGCCTCATTAACATTCAAAGACAATCCAAGTCCAGAAGCCCCAGGCATAGAAGTCAGCACATTTTGTGGGGGAGTCCACTGTGGCCTTTAAAGGGCTCCCCCAACTCTGCAGGTTGTTTTTACCTCTGGTCAGATCCCAGGGGGCTGAGCCCTAGGCCTTAAGGCCAGTTCACTCACGACTGACAAAACAAAGTTGGAACAGACCTGAATTTTCAAAACTTGACTTGAGCAGAATGATAGCAAAAATGGGAAAAATTTCAGGTCAGAACCCTATAATGAGAGCCTGGAAAGAGATACCGTGAACCCTTGCAGCAGCCTGATGTGGAATCTTGGGTAATTGCCAGGACTCTGGGGAGTGACACATATTTAAAACAGAATGATCAACTGCCATCTTTGAGTGGGGCAATGTTGCTTCCAACTCTGCCGGCCAAGAAATTGGTTGCTATGCAGTATGTGTTCTGTTCTTGTTTTCTTACAAGGGGATTACATTTCTAGTGGAACACTGACCTGTAATTTTCCAAGCTCTTTTATTGTTCTGTTTTCCCACCTTTTACAAACTCAGATCTGTTCTGATTTTAATTCATTGGTCATGACTGAACCAGGAGATGTCCAGTCTATCTACAGAGGGGTTTGATGGTTCCTGTAGGCTCAGTTCAGACAACCTGACTCCCTTCTAGAAGTTGAAGCTCCAGTCAGGTTTCTTTGAAAGGAGTTGGAGAAGTGGGAATGTCTTGTCCCCTCATTATTGAGCAGGTTGTCCTAGCCTGGACCCCTGCCCTTTGTCCCACTGGCGTGCCCATTCCTTTAGATCTACAACGAGATGATACGAGACCTGCTGAACCCCGCCCTGGGGTACCTGGAGCTGAGAGAGGACTCCAAGGGAGTCATCCAGGTGGCTGGGATCACGGAAGTCTCCACCATCAATGCCAAAGAGGTGAGCCCAGCACAGGCCAGGGCACAGCCAGGGCACAGATTAGGGCAGCACATGGGCACTGACCACCTGAAGGAGTACAAGGTGGGTCAGAGCTGAAGCTCCTCTGAAGCTGGGCTGAGACAGAACCATAGAGTGGCAGGCGGGGACCTCTCACACTGCCACCATGCCCAGCAGTGCTTACCATAGGGGACAAAGTGGCCAGTCAGTACAGTCTCTCATTTACACACAGATCCGCAGGGGCCAGAGGCCTCCCCAGACCCCAGCCACCTCTCAGCAGCAGGACCCCCCAGCCTTGGGGTTGCCTCCTGTCTCTGGGATCCCTACACGAGCACCCAGAGCCTCCCACCTACCAGCCGTCCCTCTGCCTTCGCACCCAGATCATGCAGCTGCTGGTGAAGGGGAACCGGCAGAGGACCCAAGAGCCCACGGCCGCCAACCAGACGTCTTCGCGCTCCCACGCGGTGCTCCAGGTGGCCGTGCGCCAGCGGAGCCGCGTCAAGGACATCCTGCAGGAGGTGCGGCAGGGCCGCCTCTTCATGATCGACCTGGCTGGCTCAGAACGTGCCTCCCAGGTAAGGCTGGCTCCGGGGTGAGGCTGGCTCCCGGGTGGGACGGGGCTGGGAGGGGTAGGGTGCTGTGATGACTACCCAAGTAAGGCCAGCATGATGACCACCAATGAGACCAGCTCCCAGGACGGGCTGAGTCCTGAGGGAAGGGTGGCAGGATGGTGGTATCCCAGGTGACACTGGATCCCCAGGCACGGAGGGGGGACCGTCCAGGGGGAAGGAAGAGGACAGGGTGAGTGATGTCCCAGGGTAGGGACTAAGAAATGTCCTGGAGCAGAAGGGGGAGAAGGATGGGGGGAGGCTTCCAGAGGAAGAAGAAAGGAGGGACTGTTTGTCAGAAGGGAGAGGACAGGGGGTGGAGGGGAGATGGGGAGAAAATGACAGGAGGGGGACACCCACCCACAGCTGCTGGAGTTTTGGCTGACGCAGGAGCCCGGAGGGAGAGAAGGTCCCCCCAAACCCATCTCTCCAGCATCCCTGTCCCCCACTACGCCCTGCTTGTCTGGCTCTGAGACCTTGAGTGAACAGCATGGCCCAGCGACAGGCCGGCCACCCTTCTGCTGGTGCTCTGTAAGCTGCATGGCCACTGCAGACAGCCAGCTGGCGTCCTTGTTGGCACAAGACAGTGCAGGGAAAGGCCAGTGTGGTTCCGGGTGTGTCTCGTCCTTTGCTGAGCTGTTTGGGAGGCTGGACATATGGACAGCAACCTCTCTCCCCCTCATTCCCAGTGGCTGTATCCAACTGTACCCTGGGCCAGTCCTGGAGGAACAAAGCTCTCCTTGGAAGTCCTCAGCCGTCACTCTTGTTCACAGTCCTTCCAGCTCTGGCCCTCTGGTTGGTTGTTGTTATGTGCCGTCGAGTCGCCTGCGACTCACAGCGACCCTATGTACAACAGCCCTAAACTCTGCCCTATCCTGTGCCAATCTCACCATCTCCGACACACCTGCCCCCATTACCCCAGTCTGAATCCATCTCATCGAGGGAGGGTCTTCCTCTTCTGCGCTGTCCCTCCACCCTGGCCCTATGGTGGCCTCTCCATATTTCAATGCCTTGTGGAAGAAGGAATTTCTAACCCAGACTCAGCCAGGGCAGGGTGACTGTGTGAAGCCCCAGTCCCTGTCCGGTAAAGCCACAGTCATGTGCACTGCTCCCCCAGACCCAGAACCGGGGGCAGCGGATGAAAGAGGGCGCCCACATCAACCGCTCGCTGCTGGCCCTGGGCAACTGCATCAATGCTCTGAGTGACAAGAACAATAACAAGTACATCAACTACCGCGACAGCAAGCTGACCCGGCTCCTGAAGGTACCAGCCAGCCAGGCCAAGGGTGTGGGGGCACCAGGAGGGGGCCTCCAGGTGTGGCTGACCAAGGGAAGTGCAGATGACCAGCTAGGAAAAACCTAGTGTGTCCTGTGCAATACTTGAGACATACACACGCTCAAACAGCTACTCATTGTTGATCTGAAATCTCCACATGACTGGGTGTCCTTACGCTACTTGGCAGCCCTCAGCAGGGGCTGGGAGGCCAGGAGTGGGGAGCTGGAACCCCCCAGGACTGTGATCCAAGAGCACCAAGAGATGTGAAGTGTGTGTGTGTGTGTGTGTGTGTGTGTGTGTGTGTGTGTGTGCGCGCGCGCGCATGCGTGTATGTATGCACGCACGTGCGATTGCTTGTCAGAGAATGTGTAAGTATGTGAACATGTGTGAGTGAGGGTGTGTAAACGCGTAGATGTGGGAATGCAGGTACGTGGTTCAAATCCACCAGCTGTTCCACAAGAGAAGGATGGGCAATCCCCTGCTGAGCGATTAACCTGCCTCTGAAAACTAGCTGGAGGCTCAGCTGTAGGTCGGTTCCAACTCAGTGGAATACACAACAGGTGTGTCAGTGTGAGCAGTTTGTTGTGTGAAGGCGGGTATGTGTGAATGTATGTGAGAGAGAAGCTGTGAGTGAATAGAGAGGTGGGAGTGTGTTGCAGACCGAGGGTAAAGTATTTCTATAATTATTAATAATGAGACAATCAGGAGTGAGATAGAACAAAGAGCATAAAGACAGGGGGCGAGCAGTTCTCGAGGCCTCAAGCCACGCCTGTCTGTATTTATTGAGAATCAGGGGAAGCAAATCATAAAATAATTCCTTGTAAATGAAGCCAAGTTTGTCTCTATTGTCAACCTAATGCTTTAGCTCAGGAAGTATTTCACAGGTATTAACACTCTCTCTGTAAAGGGGTCCCTAGCTGTCTCTTATCTGCAGGGAACAGCTCATTTTCTGTGATGTGTCACAAGAGAAATCCTAACTTATAAATTTGTAATTCTTTCAATTTCTGAGCAAGTAGATGGTTTTTCATATACTATTTGGTATGAAATGTGGGTTTGCATATGAGTGTACAGGTGTGAGTGTGTGTAGGTGTATGAAAATGCATCTACGTGCATAACAGTTATGTGAGAATGTAGGTGTGAGTGTATGGGTGTGTGTACAGGTGCATGTGAGTGTAGGTACGGCTGAGGTGAGGTGTAGTGTGTGTGGGTGTGGACATGCATGTATGCGTGTGACACTGAATACATGTGAAGGGGTAGGTGTGGTGAGAGAGGGCCCCCAGCGGGCATCCTGCACAGCACAGCAGGAGCATAGTGGGGTGTCCGTTGTCCCAGGCAGCCCACAGCCCCCTCATCCCCTCCAGGACTCGCTCGGGGGGAACAGCCGCACGGTGATGATCGCTCACATCAGCCCAGCAAGCAGCGCCTTTGAGGAATCCCGGAACACCCTGACCTACGCCGGCCGGGCCAAGCACATTAAAACCAGGGTGAGGGCCCCCTTCCCAGGCCTCGATTTAAGCCCCCTGGTTAAGCCCAGACTCTGCCACCCCACCCACAACGGCATCAATCCCCAATCCACAGGCATCCCACACCTCCAGTGTCCCTACACTGCTTGCCTGGTGGAGGGTCTCAGCTCCTGAGCCCCTTCTTCCCATGTCCCCACTGTCTCATCCCTCTCCGGTTTTCCTCTTCCTTTGGAGTGATGGTCACTCGCCCACAACAGTCCTACCAAGGGCAGCGTTCCCTGAGCTCTGCCTCTGAGCTCTTCAACAGAAGATCTCATTTAATTGTCAGGATGAAGCAGGTGCCACTATCATCCCAGTAAAAAACAACAAAAATCCAAACTCATTGTCGTGGAGTTGGAACTGACTCCTAGCTGACTCTCCAGCACGTTTTTTGAGGCTGTAGGGCCCTGGAGGAGACTGCCCATCATTCTCCCACGGAGCTGCCGGTGGATTCGAACCACCAGAGGCATCGTCTGTGAATTAGCTGCACAACTATGCTACCAGAGCTTCCCTCATCCCCATGTCACAGTTTGGAAAAGTGAGGCTTAGGCGGCTGCGTGACTTCCCCGCCGGTCAGCGGGGGAGCTGAGACCAGGACTGGACCTGTCCCTGAGCCGTGCCCCCCCCCCGCAGGTGAAGCAGAATCTGCTCAGCGTCTCCTACCACATCGCCCAGTACAGCAGCATCATCGCCGACCTGCGGGGCGAGATCCAGAGGCTCAAGCGCAAGATTGACGAGCAGGCGGGGCGGGGCCCGGGGCGGGGCCGGCTGGAGCGGGGCGATGCCCACCACGTCCAAGGTGCATGCAGGCCTGCCCTCCCGAGGGCTCGGGGCCCGGCGGTGCTGGGTTCAAATCCTGACTCTTCTGGTCGACTCCCCTTGGGCTTGTTGCTGCCTTCTATTCTTTGACTATAAAATGACACAGAGATCTCAGACAGGCGTGAAGATCGGGCAGGGCCACACAGTATTGGGGTGGCAGCCGTGCGGGGCATCAGTCAGGGCAGCGGAGCAGGGTCACATGCCACTTGAGGGGAGTGCCTTGCCCTCCCAGACTGCCTGCTCTGTAGAATGGCCTGCAGCTGGAAGAGGCTCTAAGACATGCCTTCATAAGGGCTGGTGGGGAAGCCCTACTCGAGCTGGAGTTAAACACTCGCTTAACCAGTCACTTTAAGGGAAAAGCCAAGACATTCTGCTCATAAAGATTCTGCTGTGTACCATCACTGTGATCTGGGATCAACTCATGGGCCATGGAAAGGACTAGAGAAGCGAATAGGGATCACGTTTGACTTGAAGCCTGAAGGCAAAATGTTGGAGTTAAGGAATAACTCTCTAACTCTCTCTCTCTAACTCTCTCTGTCTCTCTCATTGCTGTTGAATCAGTTTTAACTTATAGAAATCAGGCTCATTTTTGATCCTAGAAGCAGCAGGTAGATTTGAACTGTTGAGCTTTGCATTTGCAGTGCAATGTATAACACACTATGCTACCAGAGCTTTCTATCGAAAAGCAGGTTGTTGTGTACCTTGAAGTTGGAGCTGACCCTCCAGCAGGCTTTCAGAGGCAGTAAATCACAGGGAAGGAGACTGCCCGTCTTCCTTCCTCAGAGAAGCTTTATAGATTCAGAAGATTCATACCATGTACCTTTGGGCTGGCAGTGCAGCTCCTTATTACTAGGCCACCAGAACTCTCTATCAGAGGGCAGGAGGAGGTAGTAATCCAGGAAGTCTTTCTGGAGGAAGTGGTTGGGTTGGAAGTGGGAACAGCATCTTGTTAAGAAAGGGAGGAGAGGGCTTCAGGTGGGCCCAGACTTGTGGCCTGAACCTGCCTCTTCGCCTGGCCTCCCCTTTCCCCAGCAGCCGAGGTCCAGGGGCACAGCGGACCGGGGGAGCAAGCGGAGATGGGTCAGCTGCGGGAGCAGCTCATCAGTGCCTTCCAGGAGCAGATGGACGTGCGGAGACGCCTGCTGGAGCTGGAGCACCGCGCCATGGAAGTCCAGATCGACACCTCCCGCCACCTGCTCACCATCGCTGGGTAAGTGCAGGCCAGGCTGCGGGCTGGGTCCTGCCCCTCCTCCACGACTAAATCCCGCATCTCCCTGGGGTACTGCTAGCTGGGAGCATGAGAAGTCCCGAAGAGCCCTCAAGTGGCGGGAGGAGCAGCGGAAAGAGTCGTTTACTAAGGACGACAGTGAGAAGGACTCAGACACAGGTGATGACCAACCGGACAGCCTGGAGCCTCCCGAGGTGGCCTCCGCCCGGGAGAACATCGCCACCCTGGTGGGCGAGCAGAAGAAGCTACGCAAGGAGAAGGTGGGGAAGGGGATGTGGGGGGACAGGGAAGGGGCCTGGAGAGGCCCGGCTGTGGGGACTCTGGGGGGGTGGGAACCCTGGGATCCTGGGTGACCTTGTTAAGGTCCCCAATCTCCTTGAGTCTCATGGTCCTCACCTTTAAAATGGGGAAGGAGTCATGGTGTCCCCCTAATGGAGTTGTTGGGAGGTTTAAGTGGCTAGAACAAACTACCTCAACTAACTCAATGTCATCCAGTCAGAATTGACTCATCACAGACCCTCCTGCAAATTGCAGGAAAGGAGATTGCCTATCTTTCTCCCTCATAGCAGCTGGTGGGTTTGAACACCATCTTCTTACCCAAGGATGTAAAACGTTGGTAGTATGTGCTTTATAATTAGGGAGCCCTGGTGGCCTGCCTCGGGGCAAGAAGCTGCGCTGAAATCTCGAAGGCATGTGATTCATGCCACCAGCTTCTCAGGAGAAAGATGGGCAGTCTCCTCCTATTCTATTAACTGCCCCTGAAAACCTGCTGGAGGATCAGCTATGGGTCACCTCCAACTCGATGGTGCACAACTATATAATGAGGGTTTTCTAGATAAGAGGTCTTTGCCAAATCAGGGGCCACCAGCATATCTTGAGCAGTTGCTTTCCAGTGGATCCCAGTTCTGGCAGCTCCTGCCCCAGGTGTGTGTCAGGGTACGGCTGTTCTTCAGAGGGTTTGTGGTGGCTGAATTTTTAGATTGGAAACAGAGAAGAAGGTTCAGTAGCTGGAAAATACGGGCTCGGTGAGAGAAATGAGGCTGGAGATAGAATGATAGAGTTCTGCACATTCAATGATTCACATCAAGAAAAAGATTCTAACCACTGGGCCAATTGGCAGCATCAGTATGGATGGTCAAGAGATTGAGATAGTTAACAGTTTTAGTTTACTTGGCTCCATGGTCAACACTCTTGGTAACAGCAGCCAGGAAATCAAGAGATGAATTGCATTGGGAAAGTCGGCTGTGCGGGACCTCTCAAGAGTACTGAAGAGCAACGATGTCAGACTGGAGACTAAGGTGCGCCTGATCCGGGCTCTAGTCTTCGCAATTATGTTCTATGCATCAGAGAGTTGGACTGTGAATAGGGTTGATAGATAATTGATGCCTTTGAGCTGTGGTGCTGGAGAGGGCTGTTGAATATACCATGGACAGCTAGGAGAACAAACAGGTTTGTCCTGGAGAAGGTGAAGCCAGAATGTTCCCTGGAGTCAAGGATTCTGAAGCTTCGTCTGACATATTTTGGGCATGTTGCAAGGAGGGACTGGTCCTTGGAGAGGGACATCATGTTTGGCAGAGTGGAGGGACGGCGAAGGAGAGGAAGACCTTTGATGAGATGGGTCGATTCTGTGACTAGAGAGGTGGGAATAAGTGTGTTTGAGATGGCTAGGATAGCACAGGATAGAAGTGCGTATAGAGCTCTTGTACATAGGGTCGCTGTGAATCGCAAGCGACTGGATGGCACATAGCAACAACAACAACAACAAGAAGCCTTTCTTCCACAGTGCCTCAGGGCGGGGCTAGCAGTCACCTATCACATCAATTGCTTCTATGTCCGGGAGGCTATCAGAGGGGCTGGAAGTGGGCAGTTAGCTACCACAACTGGTTCCAGTTTTTGTGTCCAGGGTGACAATGAGGTGGGCGTGGAGGGGCGAGTTAGGAGGAGGGATCATGTAGGAGGAGCTCCAAGCTGCAACCTCCTCGAGAGAGTTTCCCCCAGATACACAGAATCCAGAGCCTGGGGCATCATGGACAGGCTGGAGGGGGGTTGTGGGGAGGGGGCGCCCCATCCCCACGCGGTTGACCCTGCACCGTCTCCAGCTGGCCCTGGAGCAGCGCTGTCGCGAGCTGCGCTCCCGGGGCCGGCGCCTGGAGGAGACGCTCCCGCGGCGCATCGGCTCCGAGGAGCAGCGCGAGGTGCTCAGCCTGCTGTGCCGCGTGCATGAGCTCGAGGTGGAGAACACCGAGATGCAGTCGCACGCGCTGCTCCGGGATGGCGCGCTCCGCCACCGCCGCGAGGCCATGCGCCGCCTGGAGCAGCACCGCAGCCTCTGCGACGAGATCATCCGGGGTCAGCGGCAGATCATTGATGGTAAGGGCCCACCCTGTGCGCCTGGGCCCCCAGGGTCCCTCCCCCCAAGGTCCAAGTGCACTGGCTGAGCCCTGACCTCCCTCCACCCCCAGACTACAACCTGGCCATCCCCCAGCACCTGGAGGAGCTTTATGACATGTACCTGCGGGAGCTGGAGGAGGGCAGCCTGGAGCGGGCCACCATCATGGACAGAGTGGCCTCCAGGGCCCTGCAGGTGGGTCCCTGGTCCAGGCGGGCCATGGGTGCTGCATAAGGGAGGGGCTGATGTTCATGGCAACACCTGCAGGGACTGACCAGGCGGGCTGACTGACCCTTCTCTGTCTCCCAAATATCCTGAACAATTTGAGTGAGAGCCCTAGCCCCAGGCATTCTTCCCTGGCCTTTGCCTCCACCCCAAGTCTAGGTCAAGGTGCCCCATCATAGATGCCAGCATAGACCCACATGCCCCATAAAGGGTGCGTGTGGGCATGTCCAGCAGGGCAGACGACACAGCTTACTCTTCAGGACCAGAATGCAAGACTGCCCTCTGGGGCTCTGGCAGATGTTACGGCCATTGTCATCTTACGCTGTTACCTGGACTTGGACCACATCTTCTGTCCACTTGGCCCTTCCCCTACAGGACAGCTCCCTGCCCAAAATCGCCCCAGCAGGAGCCATGCTGACCCCAGATTCTGACTTGGAGAGCGGGAAAACGCTGAGTTCAGAGGTCCAGCGCCTGCAGCATGGCATCCTCCCTCCCCTCAGCACGGAGAGGTGAGACCAGCAGCTTCCCCCAGTCCTGCCTGAGCCTCTGCTGTGCCCTTCACCCCAGGACTGGGCGAATGGGGCACTTGGGACAGAAAGAGAAGGGAGGAGGTGGGACTCCTTCCAGCAAACACCTTCTCCCCTGGGGCAGGGCTAATGACTCCCCTGGCCAACACCCCTCCCTCCTTTGCCAACCTCAGTGAAGTCAGCCATGTGTTCAAGGCCAGTCCCCGAGCCTGGCAGGTGAAGGGTTCCTCTGTGCTTACCCCGCCCCCCATCCAGATTGGTGGCCTGGTCAACCAGGAGGTAAGTTCTGCTGCTGAAATTGGGGGTGAGGGGCCGGGATGGGCTCCCAGCTGTTAGGATACAGCCATGCAACTTCTGTGGAATGACCACTGCTCCAAATCCTGTACAACCCCTGCCCCCACCCCAGTCTCTATTGAGGGGTCATAGGGCCCCTGCTGCTCAGGGCTTCCTCCTCTCAACCCCTGCCCCACAGGGCCCCACTCTGGACAACCTGGTCAGCCACAACAGCCGCGTCAACTCCTCCCCCAACAGCAGTGAGGACCTGTCCGAGGTGCCCTTGTCTCTCAAAGGTGTGTCCCGCCCACCCTTGGAGCCCAGGGCATCCTCAGGCACCCCTCCTTGTCCACATTGTTGGTGCCCACAGGCACTCTGTGAAGAGCCCCAGTGTCCAGTGAGGTTGTTTTGCTTAGAAACACACTGTACGATAGCACATTAGAATGGGGTGCACAAGGCACTGAGGCCTCCCTTCCTCACCCTCTACACTTAGCTAGACTTGTAGCAAATGCACACAGATTCCATCGTCCTGGGCTAAGTAAGCCTCAATCCTCACCCTGTTCACAGCTGGGGTGAAGGAACTTGACAGCCATTATTTTGCAAACACCCAGAGGCAGCTGGCATTAAAGCCCGGGTGGGCCCCTCATTTCCAAGGCAGAGGAGGGGGTGGAGGTGCTGAAGGGAGGAGGAGTCTGTGGCCCTGAGACGCTGGACCCGCCCTCTGTCTCGATGCAGAGCGCAAGGAGATCCTCACAGGCACCAAGTGCATCTCGGTGAAGGTGGCGCGGCGGCGCTCGCGCGCCCTGGGCGCAGACGCACGTCACCTGAAGCCACCGGTCACCGAGCGTAGCAGCGTGTCCCTGCGTTCACTGAGCAAGACCGAAGATGCGCGGCGGCCGGGGCAGCTGGCCTACAAGCGGCCGTCCAGCCCCACGCTGCAGCACACGGCCAGCGAGGACAACCTGTCCAGCAGCACGAGCGAAGCCCCAACCCGGGCGGCAGGACCGCGCCGCGACGGCCCTGCGCCCAGGCTGCGCAGCCACAAGAAAAGTACTGGCAAGAAACAGGAGGAGTCGCTGGAGGCCAAGAGAAGAAAGCGGAGGTCCCGATCCTTCGAGGTCACTGGACAAGGGGTGAGGCGAGAGGCAGGGCAGGCCTGTGGTCCCTTCTTTGTGGAGTGGATCTTCAGCACCCTCTTCCACACTCAGGGTCACTACCCCCAAGAACATTTTCCCCCAGATAGATTCCTGCAGCCCACCCCTGCTAGACTCGGGCCTCACCCTACTCTCCTCTCACCCGCTTCAGCTGTCCTGCCCCAAGAACCATCTCACTGGGCCCCGACCTGTGGAGAACCTCTCAGACCACAGGATGATGCCAAGCGTCCCTGGTGTGCGGCACCCAGGAAAGGTCACGCTGCCTTTGGCCAAAGTCAGACTCCCGCCCAGCCAGAACTCAGGTCAGCACTGGCTGGGGAGGGACAGCTACTGGCTGGTCCAGGCGGGAGGAGGCGGCCTGCTGAATTCCTTGCCCACACGGCTGCCCTGATGGGAACAGTACTCTGTTTTCTGACCTGAAGTCCCAGCTCTTGAGCTTGTGTTCCTATAGAGTTCAAGGCCAGCAGGGGATGGGGAGGCATTTCTAAACCACTGATCCCAGTCCTGCTGTTACAGGCCTTGGGGACCCGTCAGCCCTTGCTGTTCCCCCCAATCCAGTTGGCCTTTCCCGACGGGCTACTCGAGCGCCCCGCCTGTCCCAAGGCAAAGGTATCCATGGTAAAGATGGACGATTCCGGCGTAACTGAGGGGTGCTGCCTGGAACTCACCTTCCTGCCCTTCAGACCGAATGGGGTGTGGCAGGACAATGGAGGATAGTGACAGGACGGATGGAAATGACCGGGCTCCTGAGATCCAGAGATTGTGAGGGGTCTGTCTGATCTGTCCATGCTTTCCTCACCACTGGGAAGGAAGGAGATCCCACAAGGCATGACTAGGATAGCCAGGGTTTTGACCTCCCAGCCTGGACAGACCCTGTTGCCAAAACATTACACAGATGTGGGGGCCAGGCTGGGCCTCAGAAATGGGGGAGGGGTACTATTATTGAGATGAGATTCCCTGGGTAAGAGTAGGTGTCCCGTGGGGAGTTTCACGTACTAGGGGTGGGGTGGGAGGTTTGGCTTTGTTACTTTTTGTCTTTTACTACCACTCCTACTCTTTTTTAAAAATAAAGTTCCATTTGGGAGTAGACTTTGTCTGGACTGTGGGGTTAAGATCCAATTCAGTTCCTCTCCCCCATAAACATCCCATCCTCCCTCCAGAAGGGTTTTTTTTTCCTAGACCCAGAGGCCCCTCCTAAGAAGGCTGGAGCTTGAAGAAACCAAGCCACACTTAACCAGACCGCCCTCCAGGAAAGGCTAAGACTTGGGGAGTGCAGAACTCGCTTCACAACCCAGAAGGGGGCTTACTCCTGGGAGGTCCACACACACAAAACCACATAGATGAACCCCAAGCGTCAAGCTGAGAAGTTCCTGCAAGGCATCCTGGGGTCCTCTAACTTCCCCAGTGGTCATTCTGGCCATCTGGGTGCACTTAGCTGCCTGGTCCCATGTTTGGGCAGGGGGTTCCCTTCCGTCTTCATGAGAAGGTTCAGTCAAAGGTGGGTGTGTTCCCAGACGTGTAGGACCGCGGGCTGTTAACAGTCAGGGCTGGGTTGTGCAACCAGCCCCTCTACTCTCTTGAGTATTGGTTTAGTCAAGGTCAAATACATTGCTGGCAAGTCTATGAAATGAATTCCTGAAGCCGGACATCAGGTCTCCCTGTCCGCATCTCATCCCATCCCAGCCCCTAGGCCGGGTCAACAGTAGCCTCCTCTTGCAGCCCCCAACCCAGTCTTTTTTTTTAATAATTTTAATGAACATTTTTTACAGAGAATTTGGATTTCCATTAATTCATTGCTGCACTTCTCTACCCGCCCAGCCCTCTCCCCCTACCCCCACCCCAGTTCGCTCCTCTCTTTCAAAACTAAAAGAAAGACTCCCTCCCTGGTACACAATCCCCCAACACCCCTCCCGCCGCCCCAAGTACATTCCACTATGCAACCTTAATTGTGGACTCTTGTGATAACCATAATACCCTATCATACATCGCTTTTATTCAATCCCTCATCTGTTTCAGTGCAGTATATACAATTTATCCAGTTTTTCTCAGTCTTACCACCACCCTGATATCAGTCCCATTTTACAGCAGTGGCACCATGCAATATATGTCCTTTTGCGACTGAGCCCCAACCCAGTCTTGTCTATGTAAGGCCTTTGCCCATCTAAAGGAGCCCGGGCTCTCCATCTTCCTGTAGGCTCCCCATCCGCCTGCGGGCTCCCCGTGCGCCTGCGTGGCTAGTTGGGGGTCCGGATGAGGGTGTGGTAGACCGGCTTGACGATGAGGTGCAGGTGCAGGGCGTTCTCCACCAGGTACTCGGAGTTGCGCCGCTGCAGGTCCGCGTGCAGCAGGAAGTCGCCCGCCTCCTCGCTGCTCTGGTGGAAGTTGTAGGCATGGCGGACCAGGAGGCGGCCCTGCTGGCGCGCGCCCACTAGCACCGTCTTCTGGAAGCTCACGCCCGCCGCCTCGCCGCCGCTGCTGGCCGGCGTCACCACGAGCCGGGGCCGGCCGTCCTCGGGGCGTGCAGCGGGCAGCGCGGTGCCCGCGGCGTCCGCGTACACGGGCCGCAGGCTGACTGGCAGCCAGCGCGGCGAGAAGAGCACGTTCCAGGTGACGCGGCGGCCGGCGTCGTGGCCGCTGGGGCCCAGCTGCGTTTGGAAGCTGGTGCTGCGGTCGTCGCGGGCCGGGTTATTGATGACCCAGGCGGCGCCCCAGGCGGGCGCGAGGTAGTTGCGGGGCAGGAAGGCGCTGCCGTTGACGTCGAAGAACTTGGCGAAGTGCAGCGGCGACGCGGCGTGGAACTGGTAGGCCTGCAGCAGGAGGTCGGCCACGGCGGCGCCATGGCGCGCCAGGGCGGCCGAGCGCGCCTGCAGCTGGAAGAGCTGCGCTGGCGGGATCATCGGGTAGCGGATGGCGCGCAGCGCGCTCTCGGCCACGGGGGGCGGTGGCCGCACGCGCCCCAGCCAGGCCTCGAGCGCGTGGAACAGCTCCAGCTCATCCTGCAGCACCAGGTCCGAGCGCTGCAGCAGCTGCGCCAGCAGCTCGGGGCTCACCACGCCCCACTCGGCGCTGCCCGCCACGGCCGACAGGTTCCAGGCCAGGAACTGCAAGCAGCTGTCGCGCAGCGCCTCGTCGCCCGCGCTCACCGCGTAGTGGTACCAGCCCACGGCCGGGCCCGCGCCCGCCGCCAGGTGCGCGCGCATGTAGTCGGCTACGCCCCGCTGCAGGGAGGCCACGCCGTACTTGGTGGCCAGTCGGTGCAAGGGGATGGCTTGGGCCAGCTGCACCGTCAGCTCCCCGCAGTACAGGTACCTGCGGAGAGGTGAGCACGGGGCAGGGTCAAGGCGAGCCGTCAGGCCACCCACGAGGGCCACTTCCTGGAGGGAACCCCACCTTGGGGAGAACTTCGAGGTCAGAGGCACTAACTCTGCAGAATAGACCCTCCCACTGCCTTTCCTGTTTCTTATGGTGACATAGAAATACTCCATTCAAACTCAGCTGCCATTTGGACCGAACCGACCTGCTCTACAGGGCTTCCAAGGCTGTGATCTTTACAGGACCAGTTGCCTGATCTGTCTCCTGTGGAGCAGCTGATGGGTTCGAACTGCTGCTCTTGTGGTTAATAGTGCAATGCTTAACCCACCACACGGTACTCCTGGCATAGAATACACCAACCCCCTGCCACCCCCCCAAAAAAACCCCCCTAAATCAGCAAGCTCACTGCCCTCCAGTCAGTTCAAGTTCATGGTGAGCCTCCATCGAATTTCCCAGGCTGTAAATCTTTCCAGGTAGAGACTTCCTCAACTTCCTCCTACAGAGCACCTGGTGGATTAGAACCACTGACCTATTAGTCAGCGGCCCAATATGCAACACCATGTATTTGTAGAGTGTTGTGCCTGGTAGCACAATGAGCTAACCAAGACACTCAGATAGTCCTTGGGAGCAAGGCCTTTTGGAAAAGGCCTGGTCATCTGCTCCCTTACAGATTACAGCTGAGGATGTCCAGCAGGTGGTTGCATTCTATCAGGAGGATCCTAGGACCCCTAGGAGGTGAAACTGACCAGAAGGCTCAGACGCCATGCCGAGCATCAGAACAATGTCACCTGCCCTTGGGGGATTTATAGTCTGGGGAGTCTGGCTTCTAAGACCCTATGAGTAGAAGATTGAGGGGCTTAGGAAGGAATGACCCCGCCCCTCCGAACCTGGGCAGAACAGTGAGCCTCCCGGAACCTGGGACCTGGGACGAATCATCTACACAGGAGGGCCTCTGGCACTCAGGGTTATTAGGGCCTGGATGAGCAGGCTCTTTGCTTCAAAGCAGTGAACAGTCAACTCAAGTGAACAGTCCTCCCGAGCGTCCACCTTTCTCACTGCGTCCTCCCCCTTCTCCCTGTCAGCTGTCACTCCGCTCACCCTCCCTCCAGTACCCACTGGCACACCAAGGAGCTGTGGCAGCACCTGCCAGATCCCCCAGCTCTGTGTCTCCTCTTCCTCCTCCTCTCAGTATGACTCATCGGCCCCCTCCCTTGGAAGAAGACTGGCCTCCCATGCGACAGATGGGGCTTTGTGACTAATTGCTAGTCCATGAGAAATAAGGGAAAACACTGTATGAGTTCAGGGGAAAGTCTGCCTGAATGCACCTGAGTAGGGGTGGGGAAGAAGCTCTCGTGATGTTGCAGTTAAAACATTCAGCTATTAACCCAAAGGTCAGTGGTTCAAACCTAGCAGCCTCTGTGTGTGAGAGAAGGTGCCTGCTTCCGTAAGACTTAGAATCCTGGGAGCCTTACAGGGTGGTCCCACCCTGCCCTACAGGGCTGCTCTAAAGTGACTTGACCACAGTAGGATGTAGTTGGACTTAAGGAGGGATCCTCAGGACCGTGAACTTCAAATTGTGCACATGCAGAGGGCCCAGGTCAAGTCCGGGGAGCCCCCTGCACCGCCCAGAGTATTGTGAAGGGAAAGGACGGAGGGCACAGTGGAGAGGGGATGGAGGGAGGCGGTTGCATGGGCACGTGCTGACGGCTGAGGGTCCCCAGCTGCTGTGACCCTGTGAGTGGAGGAACCAGGGGCTCAGGAAAGAGTAAAGACCCACGCGGCCCACCTGATGAACTTGTCAAAGACGGCAGCGCACTCCCTGGGCTCCTGCAGCGCCACCTCGCTCTGGTTCCAGAGCAGCTCTCTGAGGGGCTCGCTGTGCAGGCTCAGGAGCAGGCGGTGGGCGTGGAAGACGCGGACCTCCTCAGTGCCCGCCGCTTGCACCCGCAGGACCACATCGCTGGCATTGCCATTTCTCAGCAGCTCTTGCAGGCGCTGGAGCAGCATGTGGGAGTGGTTGATAGACGTCCCTGCGGCTTCCCCACCAAGGTCGGCCCGCTGGGCTGCAGCATAAAGGAACACATAGCTGAGGAGCCCCAGGCCCAGGGCAGGATTGGGGACGAGGGGCCACCTGCAGACATAAATGCACACCTTTGGGCAGAGGGGCGGCAGGCCTAGGAGACTGTGCATATCCGTCTGTGCCCATCAGGTGCATGGATGCACTAGTGTCCCTCTGGAGTGAAGAAGGCTGTGCTCACCCTACGGGGGACACAACAGGCCCAGAGCTCTGTTTGTGATGCCAGATTTCCAGGCAAGGGTTAAGGGAAATTTTGGTCCCTACCTGTCCCCTTGAGGCATCACAGATGATGTCAGGACAAGTGGAACATTCATTAATATCGACTGAGCACACTGTTTGCCAGACACTCTTCTGGGGATGGAGAGAAAGCCACAAACAGGCCTTACCCGCCTCCAAGTTCACACTGGGGTCAGACATAGCACCCACGTAAATGCCAAGTTGAGACTGTAGTTCATAGAGGAGAGGGGCTGGGGTCAGGGAAGGAGTGACCACAGGGAATCAGCCGGGAATGCATCCAAAGGAGAACCAGTGTGTGTGGGGTGGAGAAGGGCTCAGGGCCCAGTGGAGGCAAGCAGGCTGGCATAGGAGCAGGCTGCGGGCCTGGATGGAAAGCTGTCGTCCAGGCTTGTCCTGCTCTCGTAACGGCCTGGTCTGTAGGATGATAGCCCACTGCCAAAGTATAGCTGAGGGAAGGGGACCCAGAGAAAGCGCAGGGGGATAGTGAGAGTTGGTGCCAGGTGAGACGGAATGGGGGGGGCGGCGGCGTCCGCTTACAGGCTGCTAGGGACACCTGAGGGACCTGGGCTCAACGACAGATAGCGTCAGGCTCTGAGGAGACCACCTAGCAGCTTTCCCACGTGTGCCTGATGGGGAGAGTGTCTCCCAAGCACCAGGGACACCCCAACACACACACAGGGCACATAGACGCCCCGCTTGTTCATACTGCACTCTGTGTTCACACTGCCTCACACTCACGCTCATCCACACACTCACCTGTGCACACGTGCACTCACACCCACCTTGTCATGCATACTTATTCACACACAACTCATGAGCTCACACGTTCACACACACGGCTCAGTCCTGCGCACACTCAGGTGCACCTTCTCACACCTTTACTCATACACAGCTCACCTGTGTTATTTACACACAACTCACTTGTGCCACACTTAGACACACACTTGTACACTTTTATAAACACATCCCCTGTGAACTTCAGAAAGGACTCACAAACGAGAGTGTGTGTGTGTATAGACGGAATCACAGAGGGAGACTGGGAGGGAAGCCACAGAGTTGGTTTCTAGCTCCGCCTCCCCATTCTGCCACTTCCAAGGACCTGAATGCTGATGGTGTCCCCATTCGCCTCTGCCGGCCCAGGACAAAGGAAGGGTCTTCTTCTGGTCCCGCCCCCGGGCCTGCCTGCCTGGCCCCTCCTCCTCCTCCTCCTTCTCCTCCTCTCAGGCCGGCTGCTCCCTGGCTTTGTGGGAAGACACAGGAGCCGTGGAGACCCACTCCAGTCTTTGCAATCCCTACCCCCATGCCACCCCACCCACCCAGAGCCCACTCACCTGCCCGAGTGACCAGGCCCACCAGGGTCAGGATGGCCCAGAAGCTGCTCCAGGACCCAGGCCTGGAATATCCTACCCTGGGCATCTTTGTGTCCTCGCCTCCAAGTTCACTGCAGGGACACGGAGCCCAGGCCACTCCCGTTCATCTCCCTCCTGCTTATATAGCGCCCAGCAAAGCGGACAGCAGCCCCTTCACGGTCAGCCTCCCTCCCCCACCCGGCCTCTGCATGGATTGGTGGAAACTGGCCTCCGAGGTTGCCCAGGCAACTACTTAAGCCTGAGAGTGGCAGCCCCAGGGGCTATTGTGCTGGCTGTAGGCCCCTGAGGGGGACAGATCCGGCACCCCCTCCCCATCTCTCTGCCCCCCCACAGGGCAGTCTTGGCCCTCTCCTGGGAAGTTGCAGGCCCTCCCGAGCAGACATGGGGCTCCAGGGCCACTGGCAGCAGTGCGGCGAGGGTCCGGGCCCCTTCCTCCAGCCCCGTGGAGAAGCCTCTGCCCCTGCACGGGGCAGGCTTGGCAGCATCCTGGCTGAAGCGAGGGGAGAGGAAGAAGCCAAGCGGGCTCCCACCCTCCGCCATTGTGGGTGAGCTCGTCCCCCCTCCCTGGCCAGTCCCTGGTTGGTGCAGTCAACGTGCTAGGCTGCTAACCAAAACACTGGAGTTCAAGCCCACTCAGAAGTCCTTCGGAGAAAAGGCCTGGTGGTCTCCTTCCCCAGAAACCAGCCCTGGAAAGCTCTACGGGGCAGAGTTCTGTTCTGGCACCATGAGCTGAAATCATTAACTCCACAATTACTGTAGAACCCTTGGGAGAGGAGGGCAGGCGTCTTGCATTTGGGCCTGGTGGATAACCAATATCATTTCCACGTTCTTTGTTGAGGAATCTTCTTGGCGTGCACTAGGGACAGGCCTGTCCGGCCTTTAGGGAGGCTTTGTGGGAATTCTGGCCACAGGTGCCCCATGTCAAGGAGGTCAAAGATGGCAGGATTGGCCTCAGGATCACCACAGGGTGAGGACCATTGTCTGGAGCAGGCTGGTTGTCTCCCAGGAGGCTGCCACTTGGGGGACTGCTCCTCCCGCTTCAGCCTGGGCTTCCCTCTGCCCCCTGCCCCCACTTCTGCTTCCAGGTCATCGTTGTCAACTGACCTCGGGTTTGCAGGTTCAACTCTGTGGAAGGCTGCTTTCACCAGCCTCCAGTCAACTAACTTCTGGCGTTAATTCCCAGAGTTCCAAGCAGACAAACCTCAGGCCTGGCAGCACTTTCCAACAGCCGGGGAAACTGAGGCAGAGAGCAAGGCCCCAATTTCAGGAAGTCAGTGCCCCTAAAAGGGGGTGTGCTTCTAAGGCCAACGTGTGCAGTGGGGGTCCAGCGGGGGAGTCCTCGCCTTCTGGCCAGTACATCCCAGGCAGCAGGTTGCAGACTGCTGCGAGGGAGATCCGGTTCCATGGCAGCTTCTAGAGGAAGACGGACTAGGAAGAAAGGGCTGGCGATCTCTGTCTGCATATGAGCTTATGAAAACTTCCAGAGCACGGCAGGTCTCCCTCTGACGACAGGGATGGAGCCAGAGGCCAGGCTTGAGTTGGGGACACGCTCAAGGGGAGTTAATTTCACTAGTGAATGTCAAACTGCCATCAAGGCAGCCCCCTGCGGTTTTCAAGGCTGGACATTTTGACAGGAAGAGATGACCTATCTTTCTCCCTCAGCGCAGCGAGTGAACTTGAACCACTGACCTTTTCGTTAGCAACCCAGAGCACAACAAATGACACCACTTAGCCCAGAACACAAGAAATGACACCACCACGGCTCCTCCAGCAGTGTATGCGGGCCACAAAATAGAGATTGGCTTGAATTCTCTCAAGCAAAAGCAACAGAGGGAGGAGAGTGGGGTCTCGACCTGCTGGGAATGGGGGACAGAAGAGTGGGGTGCTGAGGTGGTCACCCCTCAAGGGGGTTGGAGGAACTGCCGCCTCATGGAGGTACCCTGTAGAGATCGATGAGCTTCAGCTTGGTGCTTCTCCTGGGCACCGGGTCAGGGCCGGCTTGGAGCCTCTGCCCTTGCCCCGGGCTCCCTGGGACCAGGACCAGGTCGATGCACTGATTCTGCCCCAGGCTGGCACAAAAAGCATGCCTGCTCCACCCCCTCTCCGGAGCCACAGCGAGAGTGGGAATTGGGTCTGGCACCCGCCTCGTCCGGGTTGGCAGGGAGAGAGCTGTTCGACCCAGCGGAAGCCCCTCCCAGCTCTGACTTTCACGCCTGACTCCCCTCATCCATCCGTGTCCACTGTCTCTGGGCTGCTGGCTGCCCGCTGGCTTTGCCCATGGCTGCCCCACCTTCCTGGCCCAGCGCAGCATGTAGGGGCCTCCACACAGCCAGACGCCCAGGCCTCTGAGGGCAGCTGGCTTTCCCACCCGACGATTTCCAGCAGGGATCTTGAGAAGACGGCAGCGTGGTTGACTCCAGTCTCCTTGAATACACCAGTCAGCCTTCTTCTTTTTTAAAATATATTATTAATTTCAATGAAAATTTACAGACTTTGGATTTCCATTCATTCATTCATTGTTGCACTTTTCTCCCCTCCCAGCCCTCCCCCCACCCAGTACACTCCCCTCTTGAAAAAGTAAAAGAAAAATTCTTTCATTGTTTTACAATCCCTCCCCCCAGGTCCACTCCACTATGAAGCCTTCGCTCTGGTCTCCTGTCATGACAAAAACACCTAATCACATATCCCTTTGAAATGGTTTTCTCCCTCATCTGTTTCAGTGCAGTATACATTATTGAACCCATCTTTCTCAGTCTCCCTCCAACCCCAAGGTCAATCCTGTTTTACAACAGTGGCACCATGCAATATTTGTCCTTTTGTGACTGAGATACTTCACTCAGCATAATGTCCTCCAGTGTCACCCATTTTCAATAATATTGCATGAGTTCCTTGTTCTTCAATGCAGCGTAGTATTCCATTGTGTGACTATACCAGAGCTGCTCTATCCATTCGTTTGTTGGTGGGCACTTAGGTTGTTTCCAACTCCTTACTATCGTGAACAAAGTCACAATAAACATGGGTGTGCGTCTCAGTCAGCCTTCTTGTAGTTCAGCCCACAGCTGTGGAAACTTCCCATGCTCTGCTTAGCAGTCAGATTCCTCAGGGACACAGCCCAGGCACCTGCATTTCTAAGCACGCCGATGACTGATATGTCTACCTTAGGGTAAGATCCACAAAGCATAGTGACGGCTTGTCAGTCAGGTGCAATATAACCGGAAGATGCCGAAGGGTCACCTGTGACTTCCCTCCTCCCACATCTGTCGTCCGTAAGCCTGAGCCTCTACTAATGATTCAGGAACTGGCTGTTCAGATGTAGGTGCTCTCTGTTCTCATTCATGTGCGTGCACCTGACCTACACACACGTGTGCACATGTGTGTCTGTGCGTGCATGCAAGTGCATGTATGCATGTGCTTGTGTGCTGCACCTATTTTGTGTACATGCACGTGCCGGTGTGCATGTGTGAGTCTGGGCGGGAAAAGGAGGCAGGGAATTCTTCCCGCACAGTCTTTGAGATCAAAGACCTGCCACGCGGCATTTTCTTTCGCCCTCTGGCTCTGGAAAAGCTCCATCCGTTCTTTGAGAGCAAACCTGTTAAGTTCACCAGCAAGAACAGTTTCCAGAGAGGGGCCTGACCGCCTGCCTGGACGGATGAGTGCAGCCGAGCGACTCGTCAGATGCCAGTCAGGCAACACAGGAACAGCTTCCCTGCTCCACTTTTCTCTCCTGAACCCCATGCAGTCTTTTTCAATAACTATTTCAGTAGCACCGAATGAGCCTATCAGGTAAGAAGTCTCTAATGTAAGACAACTGAAATATCTCGTAGGCTTAGGGTGAAGTGAGGGGTTTCTGAACCATACGCTGGCAGTGGTGACATCACAGGACTGTGAGTGCCCAGCCTGTGATTTCTTCCTGCCCAAGATGGGGTCCCCTGTGTGACCCAGATACTTCCATCAGGGAATCTTGCATTCAGGCTCCAGGTCCGTGTACTCCGGTGACCCCTTAAGGATAAGCAGGTAGAAACTTCTCTCTGAAGTAGTTCATTCAACGTTTGAAGCTCCCTTTGCGTCCAGTGGAGCCGTCCAGGTGCCTTGTCCATGCTCCTGCCTCGGTCTCTTAATTGTGTTGCTTCCAGTCCGGTCCCACTGCTGTCCCTTTGATCTGTCCTTGTCCTCCATGAAGCTTGGCTCACAGTGGCCCTCTGCTTAGGCCTGGCTCTCTAGAGAAGCAGAAGCAGTGAAGTAAAACCAGTGTACGTGTCTGTACACACACACGCACACACAGAGGCTTGGGAAAGCTGGGCAAAGAATAAGGAAGATGAGAAAGAATTGATACCTTTGCATCGTGAACACAGGAATACTGCCTGTTCCGTGAACTGCCAGAGAACAATCAAATCTGTTTTGGAAGCGGTACAAACAGTGCTCCTTACGGGCAAAAGCTTGTTAGCAGCAGGCGCCGGTCCCCTGGGGAAGGGAAACACAGGGTCAGCGAAAGGGTGGAAGGCCCTCATTGAGATGGCTCGACACAGTGACTGGTCAGATGGCTTCAGAGGCAGGCTTCTGGTTCAAGTTCAAAGAACTCCAAGTCAGATGGTGACCAGGCGGATGTAGGATCCAGAAAGCAAGCGGGCTTTGTCAGGTGTTTGTGTGTGCCAGGGCTGGTCACAGCCCCGAGAGCTCGCAGCTCGTAGCAGATGTCATCACGGCGTGAATGCGTCCTATCAGACCTCGTGGAGGGAATGACTACGTTATACCCGATCTCATCAAAGGAATGATCAAATCATAACTGCCAATCCAGACAGTCGGGGGGAGGGCAGCCAAGTTGACCCTCAATCTCCGTCTTCACCCACTCCTCTTCCCAAACTTTTGTTCTGAGAAGGCTTGTTGGGAAGTGCAGGTGAACAGCTGTGGAAAAGAGGGGAAGAGATAAGCCTAAGTTCAAGTTCTAACAACCACATCCTTGTCTGTGACCTCAGCCCAGTTGCTGAAGTTCTCTGGGCCCCAGTGTCCTTTGTGTAGAGTGGAGGTGACCAGAGTCAGCCAGTGGGACTGCATCGAGGACAGGGTTCAGTGACTGTTACAGGCACCATCCTTATCCCTTGCACACCGCTGGCTTTCCAACAGTTGTGTGGACAGCTCCTAGGAGGCGGGCTCCTCCTGGTAGAGCCCCGGTGGTGCAAAGGGCTTGCTCTTGACTGTTACCCTAAAGGTTAGCAGTTTGAATCCACGCAGAGGTGCTGCGGAAGAAAGGCCTGGTGACTTGCTTTGGTAAAGATTATAATCAAGAAACGGATCTCATTTCCCCTGTAACACGGATAGGAATTGACTTGACGGCGGTGGGTAGAAAGAAAAGCTTGGTATGAGGAGACAGCATGGGACGTGGTCTATGATGCTTGTGTTTCTGGGGAGCTGGGGACTCTGTCTGAGGACTTGTCCTGAACAAGGAGGACATCTCACAAGGTGACCCTCCAAAGCCAAAGGGCTCCCAGAGGCCAGCAGTGTTGGGAAATATCCACCAGGTGGCAGCAAGGCCACACCTATGAGTACCTCTTGGCTGCTGTGGGAGTATGAATGGGGGACACTCCGGTCCCTTGTGGTTCTAATCCAGGGAGTGGGCTACATTCCTGGAGGGCGGCCACTGGAGGCGATTCCAGGCCTTAGCTCTGCTCCTGACCATCCTGGAGCGGCTGTGGGAGGACCTCTCCCTCGTCTGGGGAAGGTGTGGGGTGTGAATTTAGGCCTCTCTACAGTGCCCCCAGGACCAGCTGGTGTTTGTTTACCAGGGGCTGACAGTCCTAGTATTGTTGCTGGGTACCCTTGATTTGAAACTGACCCATAGTTGACCCTCCAGGAGATAATGAGAGGCGGTAAATTGCTCGAGAGGAGAGTACCTGTCTCTCTCACAGAGCAGCTGGTGGATTTGAACCGTGCATCTTTGCATCGGCAGTGCAATTCCTAAGCCACCAGAGTTCATCCTGCAGGATGATCCATTTCACCGGGACCACACGCCTCAGGCAATAGGGTCAAGCTTCTTGCAGTGGCCACTCCACCCCAGTGCTGTACACCGTCTCCTGCCCAGGCATCCCCTGGCGCCCCACTACCAGACCAGCAGCCCCCACATCGGGCCAGCTCCATGCACTCACACAGCAGCTTCTCTCTCGATCAGAGACTTGTCCTCGGCAGCCTCCCTTCCCCCTACCCCTTTCCTCCCTCCAGATAACAGAGTGAACCCCCAGGCCTCTGCTTTTCCCCAAGTTCTCACCCCAAGTCTCCCACCCTAAGATGCTCTGTCCCCCCAACTGAGGCCACCCCAGCTCAGCCTTGCCAGTCAGCCTCTAGGGATCTCCAAGTACCTGGCTGCCGGTCCAAATCCCCGATTGTGCCTCTTCACCTCACCAGCTCCTCCCAAAACAGAGCCTGAGCCTCCCTCCCTGCACCCCCATCCTCAGCTTGGCCCTTCTCTGTCTAGGTGCCAGGGGATCCTGGTTGGCCCCAGATAGCATCTAGCAACCCTCCCCTGCCTTGGCCCCGCCCTTTCCTTCCTCCTCCTCCTTCCTCCCCCACTCCAGCCCCCTCTCTGTAAACACAGCTCAGTGCAAACTGGGCTTGGCAAGCTGGGTGGGGGCCGGGGCACCTGGTGATGCTGGGAGGGAGTTGTGGGGACCCTCAGAAAAAGCCACCGGGGACCTGGGACCCAGGAGCATGGGGCTCGAGGGACGTGAGACAGGTAAGCTGTCTGGGGGCTGGGCTGGGATAATGAATGGTAGTGGAATAGAGACTGGGCTTAGCTGAGAAGGGGATTCAGCAGAAAATCAGAAGCTGGGAGAGCCTGAGATGGTGCCTCTCATACCTGCTGTGAGATCCCAGCC